TTGATACATGGAAGAAGAATAATAAAAGGAAGATAAGTTGATTCTCTCAGAGTCTATTTCCTCTTCCCTTTTATTCATCTTTTCATTTACGATACTTTTGGTTTGATTAATGATCCAAGCGAGTTAATATTACATGAATTATTACTTTTCTCTCTTTCTCTTTGATCATCATGAACACCATTATCATGAATCTTTCATGGTGATGGTGAATAATATTGAAGTAAAAACCTTCAAGTACATCATTTAGAGGCGATAGTTATATTTTTTTTTCTTCACCTTCGCTTCTGAGTTTAAGTTTTAATGGCTAAATATTACATCGTAGCCTCAGGCTAATTGTTAGCTTTTCTTTTCAATATTGATTGTTGTTATTACTTGTTACACAATTTATATTATTGATTGTCCAGAACAATTTAGCTATTAATACAATACAAGAGATGAACTTTTTTATCAATTGATTTTTGTTTTTTCATTTCTTCAAACAACTAAATTTGACATCGATTATATTGTTTCCATCTCTTGGAAAAATGGACAGATGACCAATGGTCACAATTAGTTGATTCGTTTAGTTAGTTAATTAATTTAATGATCGTTTGGATTCTTCTTGTTTCCGAGTTAATTTTATATTCTAATCACAATTAACTTCTAATATCCTCAGGGTCTAATAATTCAAACTGAATGTATTCTTATCAATATTAGTAACTAATTTCTTGGACACTGGTCATCATTTAGATTAGAAACTCTTTTGAAATATTCAAATTTTGCGCCTTCTCAAAAAGTAACACAATTTTTTCACCAAAATGTTAAAAGAAACAATTAAGTTAACAACATTTAACTTGCAGCTAATCAAATAATCAAATCTAATACTATCAATTGGATTATCTTTGCCTTTTATGTGAATCAAATTAACTCACAATATTTAATTTGGTTTTAATTAGTTAGTTAGTTGGTTACGCCATCTATTAGATGTATGATAATAAGGATTTAGGATTAAGCAATCGGATTAAATCAATTGAAAGGATTAAAATGATTTGTTTATTCAGAAAAATAACTTTTCAACAATCAACTTCATCTAAAGTGTTATCATTAAATTCAGATTGATGATTCAACTTTAACCATGTTTTTTTTATTCTTATTCATTGTATTCATGAAACAGAATTGAATGTTTTCCCATTTATTATATTATATTGTTTATGACCATTTGAATCTGAGTGATACAATTTATCGTGAACATGAAACTGATGATGGTGGTGATGGTGTGCTGATGATAGTGGAAATCAAGATGATAAATAAGGAGAGAGAGAGAAAGAAGATGAGAAACTCAGTTGAATTGGAAGGGAACATCAAACAGCTAACAATCATTTTTACTCATCGATTTCTTTTCATTTCTATTCCAATTTCATCATGATCATCATGATGCTCATCATTTCCCTCCCAATGCTATGTCAGTGTGTCAACACCAAATACACAGAAAAAGATAAGATGTCATTTTCTTTCAATTCTTTTCTCGGTGTAAACAATTTTTATTACTACAAACATGGAGAAGAGGAAAAAACTAATCGAAAGAATAAAAAAAGAATCAAAGAGATGAACATGAAATCGAAATTGGAAATGAAAAAAAAAATGAGACTCAGAGAGAAAAAGAAAATGATATCGATATCGAGCTTATTAATCAGCTCGATGTTTACTCTCTGTAGGGTGTTGGGTGATATATATTGATGATTATGATGAAGATTAGTTGGAACAGAAATTCATTGGAAAAAAAGGAAGATGAAGAGATTGGGTGATGGATGAAGATGAGAATAAAAGTGAACAGTTTGTTTCATCTTCTCTATCGATTCCAAGTGTTTAGAAGTAAATATTGACCAGTGATTGCTGATGATCATCTTCATCCCGAAATTGGATTAATCTCCTAAATTCATCTTCTCACTTATTTTTTCTTCTTCATCTTCCTTCATCAAAGTAACTGTAACATTCTAATACCCTGTAAGTTTACCATGTATAGAAGGTTATTCCAAGCATATTCCCATGTATATCTTTCTCTGGGAGGGGATATGATGAGAGTGGTAAGGTTAACATTTCTCTTGGAAGGCAAATGAATTAGGAAAACGTGACTGATTTAACAAGTTACATCCTTATTTATGTTTCCTCGTAGTTGTTAATTGTAATTAGAAGATGAGACAAGATTATTTAATTTCCATCTAACCAGCTAATCATCCGAGAGAAAGATTCAAATGGTTAACATGATAAACTTTTCTGTTATAATCAAATTTTCATTGGAAGTTCATGTAATTCAATGTAACACCAACTTCCCAAAAGGCTATCATGATATTATTCATGGAAAATGATGTATATGAAAATGTTAAATGAACTCGAAACCTTTGATAGAATTCAATACTTTGAAATCCATGTGTGATAATAATATTATTCAGTGAATTATATATTCTGAATCAAATCCAATTCTCTGGAATTCTGGTTACGATTAAAGTTCATAATCAAATTGAACTCAAATTTCTCATATAATGAAACAAAGTTCAGGAATTGTGTTCATAAAAATGAGAATATTTTTATATTTCTATTGAATTTCAGGTAATTTCCTGGAAATCTCGATACTTCTCATGTTTATTTCCCTGGAAATTAATCAGAACAAAATAAAGTTTCATCTTTTCGTAACCATGATGATGGTTTAGTACGAAAAAGTTAGAAAAAAGGAATTTATTTTCTCATCGTTTCTCTCTCTCTATTATCTTACGATGATAAAAGTAAATATGATGATGAGAATTCTCTCAGAATAGTAAATATCATTATCAGAATTTTCACTATCAACGATATTCATTTAGAAGTGAAAATAGAGAACAGAGGATGAAGTCGATTTTTTTCCTCGAATTTGGGATGAAATATTATCTCTTGTTTCAATCGATTAACATGAAATTCTGAGGATTTTTGTCAGAACTTTTTTGTTCTCTCTTTTTCTCCATGATCATAATTTATACTATTGAACAGATGATTAGGAAGATAAAAGATGAATATGAAAGAGAAAAAAAATATTATCGATTACCGAACAGTTTAAGTGAGACTAATGAACAAACTTATCATTTATATTAAGAATCTTTTGTTCAGAGAAAGATAAAGAAAAAGAGAAAACATTTTTATTAAAATTCTCATTCAAATGATAATAATGATAATACTTATGAGAAAGTATCATGAGGTATTAGCACAAGAATTATCATGAAAGAAGAAAAGTAAATAAGTGATGAATAAATGAGAAATAAGAAAAAGGATAAAAAAACTCAGAACTTTTCCCCTTTTCTTTCATGAATATCTCCCTGTTTCTTTTGATAATGATCATGAAAATGAAGATAAAGATTCTGATGATGATCTTCATCATATGTAATAGCGATTCTGTTTAGAGACTAATTTTTTTCTTGTGATTTTTTTTCTTCTTCATTCTGGATTCCGCAAATTCTGTATCGATTATTTCACCATGATGTACATTTAAGCAAATGAAAATACATGATGACAAGAATGATAATCCAACGGATAATGATGATAATGTTAACGAAACATTATCTTCCCATTGAAACATTTTCCTTATTTAGTTTCTGTTATTTTTTTCTCATCTTCCTTTTCTGATTCATTTTCCTGAACAAATTCAATGATTCTTAACAAATGATTCTTTGATTGTTGTTGTATTCTCTAGCATTGTTATCATTGTTTATCTCAATCTTTCCACTTTCGATGTAACCATGGTTACTTTCAAGAAAAAAGCATCCTCATCCTATTGAACACAACGAGAGATAAATCCAGATCCAGGATAAATGATTTAGATTGAACAAGTTACCATGATGCAAACAAATACGCACATACACACAAATTGATAGTCGACTGAATTTACTGTTCAGTTTCATGAAGAACTTTTTTTCCCAATGGTCAAGCAGTAAAATCTTTCTCAGTATCCATGATGATGATGAAGATAAAGGAATCAGAATTCAATTTGAAATCCAAGGCGTGGAACCAGAAACAAAAGGAATTGACTCTAAATTTGATTTCATGGTTCAAGTTCTGGAAAGATAATGATGAAGATGATCATTATCATCATCGCGAAGATGATAACAGTAATTTAACCTTCGAGAAGAAAATCTCTCTCTCTCTCTCTCTGATGATAATAAAGCAATCTAATCAACTCCACAACTCACATGTCATTCAAATGAATTAATGAGAATTGTCTAAGATGATTTTCTCTTTTATTTCTTTCATCCTCATCTTCCAAATACCCTCATCATCATCTACCACCCACCATCGACTACTGACAAATCATTATAACCTTTTCATTTCCTTGTTCATTTACACTCATTATCATCACTCATCCTCCATCATCATCATCATCCACAAATTGCTTACTCGTAATTGAATAATATAAAATTATTACATTGTAGTTATCATCATCATCATTATCATCATTTTGAAATAACAATGGGCAATTTTGTGATGAAGTAACAGAAAAAAAATTCCAAGGTAAATTAAGCACAACAATTTAGTGACATTGTTCATTATTCAGTAATAATATTATCTCATGGTGATGAGTAGGGAATGGGAATCGTAACAAAACCAATGGAAAAATTTTCTCTTCAATAATAAATGTCATTTACACTACAATTGACAGAGAGGTTTAGTTTATATCATCATCTTTATTTTTCTTTTCTCTTCCATTTCAATTAATGTACCTTCATCACTTGCAGGGAGAAAGACAAATTGCTCAGATAATTTCATAGAATTTTCCTGAAAATTAGTTTTCTATCTTCTCTCTATTCAATTCCGTAGAGATACAATTCGATAGTAGTAATAACTCTCAAATGCTACAGAATAATAATAATCTATGGAGAAAAAGAGAAAACAGAAACAAAAAATTATTCTCTAAATGGAGAAAAATTTGTAATTCTTTCTCTCTTTGAACAATTTATTCTCTTCTAATCTTCAGAGATTTTCACAAATATTCAGAATAATTTCATGGGAATTTCTATTTTATTCAAATAATCAACATTTTACAATTTAAATTCATTTATCAAGATTCTTGGAATCGAATTTATTTCGATACATTGTAAAAGTTTCTCAACTATTATTTCAAATGTCCAATTAGCCATTAGATTGATAATATTTATAAACTGTTCATGATGAATAATCAAATGTTAATCCATTGGAACTCTTGTAATCCTTTGTTGTTCAGAATTTCTATGTGAAAATACACATGGAAAAGTGGAGTAAATGAGTATCCAAAATTCCAATTTTCTTTTTGTTCTTTTCGATTCATCTCTTTTTCTTTAAGATTTACAACTTTATAATGATTGAAGAAAAAGACAGAGTGACATTGAGAGAGAGAAAGAGATGAAAATTATCACCGATAAAAAGGAAATTGAATCATGTTAATCCTTCCTCATCTTCCTGAGATGCAAAGTTACCATTTCCACCTTCAGATCCAAGAATATCATCTTCATTACCATAATTACCTCCAGCATAATCTTCCTCCTTGGTGGGTGAATCATCAGGAAATGATAATGAAGATTCATCCAGATTAGTGTTAATCTTAACCTCATTCACTTTATCACTGAAATTATTTCCAATCTTTTGATATATTGTTTCAATTTCACCATCACCAGTATCAATTTCATCACTAATTTTATCCGATGAAGTTGATTGTTGATCGGATGTTACATTGTAAACATAATTGTAATTGTAGTAACTTTGATTAGCACTATTGTCGTTAATTATGATACCTGTAAAGTTACCTATGGGTAACCAGGGATGAATGGATAATGTTGACTCGTTGAGCTGATTAATTGTCAGATTACCAATAGTAAACTTATTAAATTCAATGAGAAGAATAATTAAAATTGATCTAATTCGATAAAAACTTTGGCACATTTTCAGAGTTAATGGTGAAGAAGATATTTAAAGTTGAATTTCTTGTTAATTGTAGACAATTTTAACTCTGTTGGTTATATTTTATCCGATCGCGATTAACATTGTCACCTTTTTCTGTGGACACTTATATAAATTAATAGTAGTAGTTGTTGAGAGATGATGATGAAACGTAAGTGGAATTGAGGAAGAGAAATGATGATGATGATGATCAAATGAGGAAATGAAAGTTACTCAGTGAGTTTATCATGTGTCTGAACTTGAATCTGATTTTTTTCTCTCTCATCATCATCAATATCTCACCTCTCACACTTGAACTTTGCTGCTCAAACTCGAGGTTCGATCGTTGATACAATCAGTATGTTCACAATAAGATGCTACCATCTATTAATCTCAAAGATAAATAGCAAAAATTTTCCCAAAACGGTAATATTTTTCATGAGAATTGAGTAAACCAGAAGTTCATGAGAACTCGTTGTATCAATTCAGTTGAAAAAAGTACAAACAAAAGCTTCGGAAATCTTTTGGTTCAGACAAATCGAAATTTGTTAGTTGTATCGATTTTGACTTCGATTGAGTTTTAATCAATTCCGATGTCGATTTTGTCTCCATGAATGTTCATTGATTTCTCAAATAAATAAAATTCCTGAATTTTTACACTTTTCTTTCCTTCCGCTAGATGGTGACTCTTATCTCGACAATTTACTGAATTAACTTGAAGCTTTTTGAAAAGAATCAGTAATTGTTAATTAATTGTACTGTTCGAACTTGAGATTTGTTTTTGAACTTTTCAATGGAGAAAATTTTATTCACCGATAGCCTCAAGCCATCTGAATATCGACTTCGTAAATAACTTGATCAGAAACAGAGATTCATCTTGTTTTCATCATTAATTTCTAGAAATATCAGAGATTTTATCCACTCAAATAGCGATAAATATGAAAATCAATAATTTCCCCATGTGAATTATATTAACTTGAAACTTTTTCAATGATCAGTCAAGTTTAAAAAGTTGATAATGATTGAGTTTATCAAAAGATCTGAACAGTTAACAAATTTCACAAGGGATTTGATATAGTGAACAAAGTTAACAGGCAAAGTTTCATGGTGAAAATGAAGCTGATTCATACTCATGAGAATTGGAATCAATTTTTAACATTCACATTGTGATAACTTTGCTTCTTCATGATAACATGGATCAGATAAATAATCTCATGGTCATATATCACATACACACACATTGTAATAGATTATCTTAAATCCTACCTTGATTATCATGAGGGTTTTACAGTAAATAAATAAATATCTGAAAATCGGCAACAATTTATTTTGATAACCTGAACATGATGTTGGAGGATTTTGATTATATTAACAGTTGATAAGCAATCAAATACAAATGGTCAAAGTAATTGGGGTCACTTGTTATAATATACATGAAGGCTGTTCATCTACCCATAGGCACACTCACACTCACCCACATCCTCACTTTGCATTTGTGTAAACAACTGACCAAGAATTAAGTTTGCAATTAGTTTTCCAGGCATAAGTTGATCAATTCAATCAATTACAATGTCCAGCAAGAGATCAAACAAAAGGTCAGTTACACAGTTAAGGTTAAGTTTTTGTTTCTTGTTTAATAACAAGTGAAAAAAAGTGATGGATATTTGCTCCTTGATGAAAGATTGGGTTGTATTGATGAAAATGATGATTAACTGAATGACCATGGGTCTAACTTGACATCATCTTCAATGACAATACAAACAAGTAAATGACCAAGTGAGAGAGAGACTTGAAGCTATTATACTGTTAACATTACAGGAAATCAAAGTTAACATTGAGGTAACATTGAGAGTTGATATTATTTCATTAATACAAGAGATCTCACTGACTCTCTCTCTCTCTCTCTCTCTCTCTCTCTCATGCATACACCCATACACACTCAATATTTTTCCCCTTTGGTTGTTGTTATTGTTGCTGTTGTTGATATGATTCTGTCAATTTCATGTCAACTTTTTGCTTCCGGGAGCAGGATGAGATATCTCAAAGATGAGAAAGTAAAAGTTTCTCTTCAAGTTTTTCTTCATAAAGGTTAGAAAATATTGATGAGAGAGAAATTGATGATTCTCTCTCTCTCTCTCTCTCTCTCTCTCTCTCTAAGATACTCACCCTGTCATCTTTTGTTCATCATTTTGTCATCACTCTAATGTTGATTCACTTTCCTTCAGGTCAATTTTGTCATCTATACCTCTTCACAAACACACTACCAATTTACTCCCTTCGCAAGGATGAAGATATTGATATATCTACATACAAATTTACTGAATATTAACAATGGAAAAAGTTATATTAATATATATCTAGAAGACGAAGATGAAGATGATGATGATGAGTGGATGCAAACTTTTTCCATTCAAACTCAAGAGACTGAATCTACCAAAGACACTGAGGCTATTTATTCAATGATTATCATCTTTGTCAACAAATTCATCTTTTTTTTTAACATCAGAATCATCTCTCATCATCTTGTTGATGCAAGTACTTCAAGAGGATATCCCTAAGAAGATATTACTTTGATTAAGGATTCATCTTCATCCTCATCCTCATCTCCACCTCTTCCTTGTGGGAGAGACAATAAGCCAAGACAAACATTAAACTATCCAGATGACTGACTTACCAATACACTTGATTATTTGCTTTTTAGTGTTCACATTATGAAGATGATGATGACGAGAGATGATAAGAGTGAGCATGAAAAGTTAATAGTTGAATAGTAGTGTTGCCGATGAAGATGAACATTGATTGGAATGATTTACAAATTGAATCGGAAAACCTCATCACTTGACCATTGGACTGTTTCTGACATTTATCCCTTTCATCTTGATGGTCAGTAGTCTAAGGTTGATGTTATTTTTCAGTCTCAAGATTGAGAAAATAATAGATAACAATTTAACTCCAAATAGATGAACAAATCTAATATTAACTTTTTTTTTCTTTGTCAGATCAACTTTATCATTTCACTTTTAATCATCATCATTATTATCCCTTATCATCAATACTATTTTATCCTCATCAAACACAAAAGGTACAATAATATATATAACAAAAGCCACGAAAAGCATTCAGCTAATCCATGATGATGATGATTATCCTCATCTTCACGTTCAGTCAAACAAAAATTTCAAATCAAATGAATCCAATTGCATAGACACACACACACACTCACATATATTGATACAAACACGAACCAAGAATACCTTCACAATGAATACCCTTCCTTTTGTTATGTATCAACAATAATATCCATAGATGATACATTGAATAATAAGGCAAATGAGAGAGTATGTTTGAGAGAGAGAGAGAGAGAGACAAAGGTAATAATATATCAACATCTTAAAAGGAATCCATAAGAAAGTAATCAATGCAAAAAAAGATGAAAAGAAAAGTTTTTTTCTTCTTCTTCATCCCGATTCTTAATCATTATTATGATATTATTTCATGTAATGAAAATACCCTGAATAAGGTGAAACATACACACACAATAAGTTTCAATTGCAATATGAATATGAATATGAATATGAATTTCAATTGAAAGAGAATATACAAAAAAAAAATCTTCTAACATGCAATTTTGTCATTCTTGTAATAGAAAATCATTTTCCATCATCATTATCATCATCATCCTCATCATATTTCAATGGTTATCAATAAAAATTTGATTCACTTTTCATCTTTAGATTTCAAATTGTATTGAATCATATATTATACATATTGAAGGACACGGAAACGATTATGAGATATTATTGATAATCCATTTTCTTTAGCATTTATCCTAATATTTGGATGAAAGGTAAGAAACTAATATCTAACAGATGCTCAGGTAAATTGAACTGGTCATCGGATTGAATTGTGAAAATGGTTGACACTTGATGAGGATTTTGTTACCAATCAAGAGTATTAATAACTTGTGATACTTGAGATTTTTTCTTCTTCTGGTGATATTATTTCATCTCTCTTACTTTCTCTCTCTCCCTTTGTGAATTATTAAGATATCTTCAAGATATGATGGAGATATTTATATTCGAGAGGATAATCCGCTTTGAAAATGGATCAACAAAACTTTTTCCTCTTTTTTTTCAATGGAAATGACCAATTTCTTGATACTGGACATTAACGTTTACCTTTTGAAACTTTTTCCTTTCTTGTCATCATCATAATCTTAAGTGTATCCATCCTTTTCAATGGATTTTGTGTTTATTTTAAAACTTATCTCACTTTTTTTTGATATACATTCGATGTCTCTATTGTGATAATCATTATATTCACCAGATTAAACCATTTTCATGGATTAACCAATCTTAGAATGGGTCATTATATTGATGGTCAGTATTTTGTCAGACTTTGATTGTAATATTTTAGTCTGTGAAAAATTAATCGACAATCGAGAAACAACAATTAAGCTAAATAATAATACGATCAGTACAAACTACTATTAGTTAAATATTATGATATTACTTTTGACAGGAATAAGGGGATTAACATTTTCTTAGAATCCTTTAATCTAATCCTATTGGAACCACGAGTGTAACAATAATAATAATAATCGTAAATTTAAAATCATCTTAATTGTTGTTGAGTGAATTAATTGTTCTAATTGAAGTTTATCCTTCAGATGTAAATCATTGAGATGAAACTTGAGACTTGATTTGATATGAAAAGTTTTCCTTACTTTGAGTTGTTCAACTCCTCTCAGAATAGATTATGGTGATAATAGATTAAAAAGCCTGAGGGTATTTGAATTTATATTCTAAGATAAACTACGATTTAATAATAGTAATAGTTATACTATTGTTTGGTGGATACTTTTAAAGAAATACTAACTAATGGTCAACAATTGTTGACCATAACAAATTAGCTGAGTGTGAAAAGGGATTAACAGGATTATTAAGATTCGTATTGGAAAAGTCAAGTTAATCAATGGGTGAATTTTCAATGATTCACTAATGAATTTTAATCTTCCCATTCAAATAAATGAATATAAATATACTGCTAATCAACTTGACAATCAACTGTGATTGTTAAATTGTTTCCCCACCCGCAACTATTTGGCCTGATTGTTGTAGCTAATATTTAATTGACAATTGTTGATGAATATTTATCCGCATCAATTTCAATTATTTCAACTGATTGTTTGTAGTAATTTATATATTATCTTAATAACAGTGACTAATCAATAATAATAAATTATCAATTTCCTGGTGTTATTTTAAATGGAATTGATTAATTTTCAACCTTTCAGAATTGTTGATAATTAAATATTTGATTAGAATTAGTAAATGATCAGCAAAAATAAATGTTAATTGTTATAACATATTCTTGGCACTTTGATTGTAATATCTATGATGATTTTGTTCAAATTGATGCTACAAGTGCCAGCAGAGTTTATTATTATCATATTATCATTAGTTTAATTGTTGAAGAA